GACACTCTAGCCCAGGCAACAGAGACTCTGTCTCAAAAAAAAGAAAAAACAGAAAAACATAAATACTAAGAAACCACGAAAATTTGACTGGATCCATTTTGTGATGTCAAAACACCTTTAAACACATTCCTCTTCTCCACATTCACTTTCAGTGCCACAAACTCAACCACTCCACAAATATTTAGTACCAAAAAAGGAAAGCTTGTGGAGGTAACCAGTAAAAAATTACATAAATTGACTAAAGATTATGAAAGGTAAGAAAAACTGGAGTAACAATTTTAAACTGATCAACAGATAGCCACTGTTGAATTCATTAGGGAGTTTTTGTTTCAATTAAAATTTTATCAAGGTTTCTGGGAGACTTTACCAAAACTGAAAGACTTCTAGAGTTTTAAATAGCACCTAAGTCACAGGTGAATCCGACTTTGCAAACTGAGATCCACTGTTACAAAAACCTGCCCAAAGTGAATTCTAACAGGTAGAGTTAGGCCCGTGGCTCCTAACTCTGGCTGCGCGTTAGAACACCTGGAGCTTTGGCAAATGCCCACAGTGCCACCAGAGGACAGTTCGAGTCAACTCCTCCCAGGCAGAGTCAGTCGGCAGCTGTCCCAACTGCTCCCAGTGGTTCTGATATGCCGAGACTTGAGAACCAGGGTGGTGACCAACAGAAAGTAAAATAAAATAGCAAACAAACATCAGAAAAACTGGCTCTATCTAGCTCAATATATAAGTAGATTGCAAATCATAAATACACAGGATTATATTCATTTGATGCGTTAACTCTTGCCCCACATATCATGTTCTTCCACACTAGATCAAAACCTTAGATTAAATAAATAAATGCCTCAGAAACTAATAAACTGAATACCTAGAAACACATACAAATTATTATACACGCTCTATTATGTACCATTTGAATTAAAAATAGGTGATACTGGCCAGGCACGGTGGCTCATACCTGTAATCCCAGCACTCTGGGAGGCCGAGGCGGGTGGATTGTTTGAGCTCAGGAGTTCGAGACCAGCCTGAGCAAGAGCGAGACCCCGTCTCTACTAAAAATAGAAAGAAATTAATTGGACAGCTAAAATATATACAGAAAAAAATTAGCCGGGCATGGTGGCGCATGCCTGTAGTCCCAGCTACTCGGGAGGCTGAGACAGTAGGAATGCTTGAGCCCAGGAGTTTGAGGTTACTGTGAGCTAGGCTGAGGCCACGGCACTCGCCCCAGGCAAGAGAGTGAGACTCTGTCTCAAAAAAAAAAAAAAAAGTATGCCTGGAACAAACCTATTCTTCTGAAACAAGTCAAGAGAAAACAAATGTGTGTACTATTCGACCACATTGAGCAAGAAAACACACATACTCCACACCTTAAATAGCTGAATCCACCGTTTCTGCTCCATCTGGATACACTGCTGCATTTCGGAGCTGGTGGTGACTCCGACACTCTGGAACGCTGTGACGTACTCCTCCCGCACCTCTGGCTTCGTCTCCGGGTGGGCCAGCTTGATGATCCCCAGGCAGGCGTCCCGGAGGCACCGAGACAGCATCACCAGCTCCTCTAAAGTGAAAGGCATCATCGACGACTGTCTTTGACCTGCGACTGAGAAACACAGCCCAGTTTTCTGTCATACATTTCTTTTTTCAGTTCTTAACATACACTGAAAGACTTAAAAGGCTTAAAATCTTTCTACTGTCTATGAAAACTGACAGGCCACGTGGACAGCGACGAACGGATTTCTCAAAATTCTCACCTTCTATGGGATCACCGAAGAACTCATTATCATGTATGGAAATTAGCGAATGACTAAACAAGGAGCTAAAAAGGTAAAAGAGTGGGATGATTCGACTTGAATCCTCAAAAGACATAGGCGAGCCCCTTGATATCACCTGGAGCAGTGGGACCATGGACCTTGGGGTGGGGAAAGGGAGGAAAAACAGTTATTTTAAGGTCAGTTTTAGTTCGGGAACAGATTAAGGCAAATGTAATCCGGGAACATAACAATCACATTAACACTTACAATACTTAAAGGGAAAGTCACTGTAACCGTGACAACATAGGTTAATAAACAGCATATATTAATTTAAAAACAGTACATCAACCCATCACTCTTCACGAATGTGCCTGCTACTGTATCACCCGGATAAATCAAGTTACTGAGAATGAGCCAGTGGTCCCAAGGCTGAGGCCACGACTGCAGGCACACACTGTACCAGGCTTTTATAAGGAAAACCGTCCCCCTTTCCCTCAACTCAACGTATCATAAAAAGACAAATCATTCTGGTCTCAGGAACAATCCATCCAGTCACGTACTTTTAGGAACATCCAACACAGTTTAAGGAATATTAAAAACAGTTCAATCCTGAAGCAAAACGAGGACCTTCCTCAACGATGCTTCCCCTTTCTGCACTGGCCGTGTCCACCGTGTCAGGAGCCTTCGCCAGCCCCTGCCACTGCTGCTGCTGTCCAACCACAGTGGGGGGTCCTCAGAGAACTCTGTGGTCTCCTTCACCCATCAAGAGCATGACCTCTTAAATTTCCTCGTTACCTAGAACGGGTTCCGTTTCTCTCTCATCTAAGTCTGCTTCCTTGTCTTATGGAACGTTTAGGTAACAGAGGTTCTCCTGTAAGCTCTTTCCAAAGTAGAAAGCCCACAGTGCCCTCTAGCATGTCAAACCAATCATGGGTTACTAGACGCTGTGGGTATTCAGGGCTTACCTCCCTGAATATCTATTTCCATAAAACTATAGGTATATATTGTTAATAGATGAGATTTGACCGGCAGTCAGAATGCACAAATTCTACAGGAGAGCAAAGCATAAAGAAGGTCACCAGTTATCAGCAGTCGGGCACTGGTGGGCTGGGCTGGGCTGAACTGCCTGGGGTTTCCCAGTCCCTGTGGGGCACGGTTCACAGAGGGCGCAGCTCAGGGAAGGCACTGCCACCAACAGTGCAGCCTCAGCTCCACTCCCAAGGGCACCATCCTACACAGCTGCACACACCTGGATCATACTTGCAATTCTAACACTTTGTGTCTAGCACTATGTTGAATGGACTCACGAATTAACGAATGAAAGCCGTTCATCCAAAATAAAAACATAGCAGGGACACACAAAAAAGAACAAAGTACAATTGTCCTTCCTCACTGCCAAAGCCTGGATGACGGAAAAAGGCTGTTGATGTGGAGGATAAAAGCGGTACAGGGCTGTCCTAACTGCACAGCAGTGGCTGCTTCTAATTGCCCATCCCGTGAGAACAGGAGCCCTCTCCTACTTCCCTTATTTATTTATTTGACAGAGGGTACCGCTTTGTCACCAGGGCTACAGTGCAGTGGTGTCATCACAGCTCAGTGCAACCTCGAACTCCAGGGCTGAAGGGATCCTCCTGCCTCAGCCTCTTGAGTAGCTGGGACTACAGCCGCACACCACCATATCCAGCTAATTTTTCTATTTTTTGTAGAGATGGGCTCTTGCCATGTTGCTCAGGCTGGTCTCAAACTCCTGGCCTTAAGTGATCCTCTTGCCTTGGCCTCCCAAAATGCTAGAAATACAGGTGTGAGCCACCACGCCTGGCCCCTCTCCTATTTCCTGAGTTACTCCCCACCATGCTTAGTACCAGGCTATCCACACACAGTGGTGTTCAGTAAAAATTTTACTGACACAGAGAAAAAATCTAATGTCATATATTTTGTTGACATTAGTAAAAATAAATGATTGGTACTTTTTAGTTCCCTTGCTACTAAATGCAGAACTACAAAAATAATAGATAATATTGAAGAACACATTCTGTTTAGGAGAATATGGTATAGGTAGTGTTAACCAGTTGCAATGTGGACCAAGTATTTTCCAACTCTAAAAAAGTGATGAATCAGCTTCAGCTGTCATCCCTGTCAAGAATCCTTGTACTGAAAATCATCCTCATATCATCAATTATACACATTAATGCCAGGAAGCATAAAATCCTTACACAGCTTCCCTAAAAAAAGAATAGGGTAATTAACCAACAGTAACTTACTGTTCTGTTTAAAATCCTGTGAAATAAGCAAAAGGAATTAGTCACATTTACTTTAATGTCAGGAACTGGGACTGGCAAGAAGGGTAGTGATGTGCCGCGGGTCCCTGGCACGAGTGAGAAACAGATGTCTTGGTTCTCTGATGACCACTCTTTCTGCTATGAACACTGACTCAAATATTCCTCTAAAAAGAGGTCAGTTCCAAAGACTTATGTGCAGATAAAAAGTCCATAATTTACTGCAATGGCAAAGACGTTGATTCATAACTCAGGGGAACTGGTTGAATTACCGACCATCAGTGAAACCTGAGGCACGTCCCTAACCCCTGCCTCTACCCGCAGAACAAGGGTTTTCACGTTCTGTGTCTGTGGGAGTCCTTCCTCCTCCCTGCCCCAACTTAAAGAGCTCTTGTCTTCTATATAAGAATGGATTTTTGCCTCAAAAAGTTTGCAGAGTACTACTATAGACTATTTTGGAATTATTTGATCAAATAATTAACAGCATCAACTGTGGACATGTGGGCAAAGCACCTTTGCGTTATGTCCTGGTACAGGGATGCCTGATGGAAAATAGTAACCGGCTGGCTGTATGTTCGTTCATCGTCAGCAAGAAGGGAAACTACACTGGCTGATTTCAATAGCAAATACTGAAAATGAGGCAAATAAATAAAAACGCTATTTGCAAAATGTCTGGTATTCCAAAATAGTTGTTCCCTATCCATCTAGAGACACTCTAAATGTACTAGGTTTTTAAGTATGGAATGTCCGATTTCCTTAAGTACTAAGCTCGACAGTCGACGTCTCTGACATGTCACTTTGACACTTCTCGCTTTATTTTTATTGTGAAGGTGCATCCTCAGTCTTTCAAGCGCACGGTTTCGCTTGTGATTATCTTTCAATTGTATCTTTTAGAGCAAATTTTGTGAAACCATGGATAAGTCAAAAATCCACGTTTTTTTTTTTTAACATTAGTTCTGTTATAGAACCAATGCAGCGCAGACAGCTCGAAATATCAACGCAGTGTTTGGGAAGGATGTGGTTAATGAACGCGTAGTATATTGATGGTTTGACAAGTTCCATTCTGGTGATTTTAATCTTGAAAATGAGCCACGTGGGTGACCTGAGACCAAGGTGGATGATGATGAGCCAAAAGCTCTAGTGGAAGCAAATCCATCTCAACCTATGTGTGAATTACCAGCAAGGTTTGACATGACTATTCCAACAACATTGGACCATCTGAAACAAATGGGCAAGGTAAAGAAGCCAGATACATGGGTAACACATGAATTAAATCAGCATCAGAAGAGAACTGTCTGGAAGCTTGCCTTTCTTTGCTGTTACAACATAAAGGCAAACCATTTCTATACAGTATTGTTACCTGTGACGAAAGATGGGATTCTTTTTGACAATCGCAAGTGTTCAGCACAACAGATGGATAAAGGTGAAGTGCCAAAACACAGTCCAAAACCAAATATTCATCCCAAAAAGCTAAAATCCACTATGGCTTCATGAAACCTGGTTAGTCGATTATAGCGGATGTCTACTGCAACCAATTGGACAAAATGATGAGGATACTTGTGATTATGCAGCCGAGATGGTCAATACAGACAGGCCAATCCTCTTGCAAGACCACATGTCACAGAAAAAGCAACACTGCTCAAACTACAGAGGCTGGACTGGGAAACTCTCTGTCACCCGCTGTATTCACCAGACCTTGCACCAACTGACATCACTTCTTCCAGGCTTTGGACAGCTTCTTGCAAGGAACAATATGCAATTCTCAAAAAGCTGTGGAAAACATCTTTTGTGATTTCACAGCCACTCCCTCTCCAGGCTTCTTCGCTGCTGGCATAAACAAGCTACCGTTAAGATGGCAAAACTAGGCTGGGCGTGGTGGCTCAAGCCTGTAATCCTAGCACTCTGGGAGGCGGAGGCGGGCGGAGACTCTGAGCTCAGGAGTCCGAAACCAGGCTGAGTAAGAGCGAGACTCCGTCTCTACTAAAAATAGAAAGAAATTAATTGGACAACTAAAAAAATATATAGAAAAAATTAGCCAGGCATGGTGGCACATGCCTGTAGTCCCAGCTACTCGGGAGGCTGAGGCAGAAGGATTGCTTGAGCCCAGGAGTTTGAGGTTGCTGTGAGCTGTGATGATCCCACGGCACTCTAACCCGGGCAACAGAGCAAGACTCCGTCTCAAAAAAAAAAAAAGAAAAGAAAAGAAAAAAGAAACTATCTAAAAACTTGTATAATTCTATCAACTTATAAAATAATAATTAACAATATCTCATTTCTTCTTTCACACACCATGATTCCATTTCCTCACCAAAGGTAAATATCAGAAACGAACAAGCCATTATCAGCAGTACTACTGCTACTGCCAGGCTGGGACACTGAGGGCAAATGGCAACCTCCTGTCCCAATGCTCCCCATCTCCCTAAGAAGACCTGTCACTCATGAAGGATAAGGTTGGCACTGAGACGTGACTGATGTGCACCAAAACACACTGCAAAACAAAACACACCTAAAATCTTATATTTTAGTTTGGAAATGAAAGTCCAGAAAGGAATTTTTCCAGGCATTACGTTATTCCAGGGGTCTCTCTCTCTGCTTGTGCCACTGCTGACACAAGACAATCACTTAATGTTTAGATGTTTCACCAGGTACGGTGGCATCGCTAAAAACCCCCTTTACTCACTTAAGATTCATTAAGATTAAAACACAGGAAAGTAATTCAAAGTAATGCTGTTCATAAACTGACGTTTTGTACAGATGGTTCGAACAGCAGTTCCATTCATAAAGAGGCCAACTGTGGCCGATTAAAAGATCCTAAAATGTATCTTTTGCTCTATATATTGCATTAAAAAGCCTCGAATCCAGAAATCTCAACACAAGATTTTTCAGCACCATCTTATCTTACATGGTACAGAGCAGATTACATTGCAGGTGAATGCATATTTAAATTCTGGACATCTACCCTCCACCTGCCAAAAATTCTTTCTTCCAACTTCTACTTCTTGTTCCTAAAAAGAAAAAAACCCACCTTTTCCTTCCACACTCTCGCCCTACAACTGAGACTTGCCTTTCCTTTACAGGATAAGCTGGCTCACAGTGCGCAGTCGATATGCTGACTGCTTTATTATTAGCATAGTTAACACAACGTTTGCATTCTCTAGGTCTGTTAGGAACCAGGCTACACCGCAGGACGTGAGTGGTGGGCCAGCCACGGAAGCTTCGTCTGTATTTACAGCCACTCCCCATTGCTGGCATCACCACCTGAGCCCCGCCTCCTGTCAGATCAGCAGTGGCGTCAGATTCTCATAGGAGCGAGAACCCTACTGTGCATACGAGGGATCTGGGTTGCAGCCCCTTAAAAAATATAATGCTTGATGGTCTGGGGTGGGGCTGAGGTGGTGATGCTAGTGCTGGGGAGCGGCTGCAAATACAGATTATCATTAGCAGAGAGGTCTGACTGCAAAAGAAATGCACTGTGCTTGTGTCATCCTGAAACCACGCCCCCCACCCATGTCCATGGAAAAATTGTCTTCCGTGAAACTGGTCCCTGGTGTCAAAAAGCTTAGGGACCACTGCGCTAAGTCTAATCTCGAATTAACTGAGTTACACACTTCATCTTTTTGTATCACAGTACAGAGAAACTGGCTTAGACTTCTGATGGAGGAAAAAATCCAACAACGTGGTAAAGGGCTAAGTCAGTTTGCCATGAAGAATTTTAAATATGATTATTTCTTCTTATGCATTCTATTAAATACATATATTAAAGATGCTTTCAAATTACACATTTATATATGAAAAATTACATTATTTCAACAAAAAGTTTTAAAAACCAACTTCTACATTGTATTAATGTTTGTAATGATGTCAAATTTGCTTCAAATTTATATTTTCACTGTCGAAAGAATATTAAATCTCTTCTGATGGGTGCCGGCGGGGGAGGGGGGGATTAAAGTCACACGGAGCAAAGAAATTTCCATGTCCCTTGTAAAAAAAAAAAAAAAAAGACTGGGATTTTCAAAACAAATTTACCCTGAGATAAAGTCATACTCTTAATAACATACGGACAAATAGCTATATAATTAGGCATTAAGCTTTCTTTTTGTAAAATCAAGAGCATCCAGAATTTGTCTTCCAATACAAAATGAGTTTAGTAGAAGGACTTAAGAACACCTGCATGTAGCATCTTTGATTGGGCAGCCACTGCCTGTGCCCTGGAGCTCACTCTGTGATCGTGTTACATACCCGGTGATCATGCGCGTTGTCATGGAAGATATCAGAAACCACAGGTGTCTCAGAAACCTGGCATTGAAGGCTAAACTATAGAGGAGCCTAAAAAGGAATGGGGGAAAAGTAAGGAAGAATAAATAAGCAAAGTGAGCAATTATTCACTCAATACATTTCTTTTAAAAAAAGAACAAGCTATACACTGAAGATAAATGTACAATTTAGAAAACACCTATGCTAACACTACGAAAGCGGCCTCCTACAGCGGCCACCTGAGGAGGACACCAGGGCGCAGCCTTGCGCCGGCTCCCGGATGCAGCGCACGCTGCCTGGAGCAGGCGAGCCCAGGACGTGGCCAGGAGACCCGTCCAAAGACAAAGGTGCAGGCTGCTCCCCTTCTGACTACTCATCATATTAACATACCGTGATGTATTAATTTTGTGCAATATTAATACAGTACTATTATTAC